CAGGATCTACCCGACATCCATGAGAGGGCAGTCAAACTTTTGTGCACCCCCCTCGTTACCAACCTTGCACCGCCAGCCCCTCACCGAAGTGGTTTGATCCTTCGATCTCCATCAAGGGATATGTGCGCACCTTCCCTTATATCTCCCTCCTTCACTTTTTCTTTTTCAAGGAACAGAACACGTTCTTAAATAAAATACAAAATTTCAGATAGAATGCATGGTAATTTGGATGACAAGAGGTGATTCACAATGAGGCGAGAGTGACAGTCAGGGACAGCATTGCAACCACCACTCTGAGGATTCAAAGCAGCAGCAGGCAGAGGAGGCAGTAACCACCAATGGACCACCTCCCCAGTTGTTCAATCATAGCTATACATACTGGCAGCCGTTTGAATCATCCCCAGTTGTTCAATCATAGCTATACATACTGGCAGTCGTTTGAAAGACCCCACATCATCGGCATGAAGACCCGAAAGCAATTGTAGCGAGTGTCACAGGAACCACCACTAACCTCAGCAATGTTCTGTTGAGACTTTGCCAGGGCTTCTTGTTTGGCATTCAAGAACCTCCACTGCAACCAGCGATTATGAAGCACTCTCACATGCCTAGCCAGCATCTGTGGGTTCATGTTGGAAGTGACGGGCATTTGGTGACAGATTGGTGGCGCAATCGTAGCAGCCACAGTGTGAGAAGGGCTTGCTGTCAGCATAGACCGCGACTTGTTGCCTTCAGCATACGCACTACGAGGCCGGAGCCCTGGGCTAGACGTGACCCCAGGAGGAGTCAAGAGAGGAGAAAGAGGCCCAGCCTGCCCTGACAATGGCTTAACAGGTGGTGATGCAGCCAGAGATGACAATCCGGTTGTTCCCACAAGCTGCTGTGATAGTGCTCGCCCTGGAGACTGTGCCCATGCAGATGAGGTAGCTGAACTGTTCCCTGAGAAAGAGTTGGACCTCCATGGCGATGTGAGGCCAGTCTTCGCTGCTACAGCAGATGTACAATTAGTTCGCACATTACTAACCGCTACTCCATCACTGGTCCGCCTGGCTAACACCCCCGACTTTGCATTAGTCCCCCTCTCCTTTGCATCAACAGCACTACCCCCTTGTGGCTGACTGTCACTTCCCCCTCCTGCTGCCGAACCTCCACTCCCTCCTTTCTGCAAAGAATTGGTATCCCATAGCCGTTGCCGTGCTCCCAGCCCGCGACTTTCCCCCACAGTGCCACTCGTTCCATGAATTGCATATGTTCCCTTGGTCCTGTGGCGGTTTGAAAAAGGACCTGCCCGATTCTCTTTATTAGATCTACCCTCCAGCCTTGCCCCACGTTCCATTGCGCAGCATTCAGTGGCATCCCTCTCCTCTTGCTCACAGAGCCCATCTGTAGCATTTGCAGATCCCCTGCCAGGGCCACTCTGCATCTCCCCTATTAATAAACCCCCACGTTGATCAATTCCCCTGTCTGACGACTCCGAGCCAACGGACGTCCCTTCATCAAAGCTACCATCGTTATTCAGAGTTACTTCCAAGCTATTACCATGCCTATCAATCTCATCAGCGGAAGCAGCAGTAGAGGCAGCAGTAGAAGCAGCAGTAGAAGCAGCAGTCGAAGCAGTAGTGGCAGCAGTCGATGCAGCAGTGGAAGCAGCAGTGGAAGCAGCAGCGGAAGCGGCAGTGGAAGTAGCGTAAGATGCAGCAGTTGAAGCAGCAGTGGAAACAGCAGTAGGAGCAGCAGGAGCAGCAGTAGGAGCAGCCGTAGAAGCAGCCATAGAAGCAGCAGTAGAAGCAGAAACAGAACCAGCCAATGCAGAAGAAGAGGGGATCGAGGGGACAGCCACAGAGTTGTCCTCATTGTCACGATAATCTCCAGATTGTACTCCCCTCTTAACAACACTACTCAGTTTCTCAACATGCATGCTTTGGTGTGCACAATTGCTCACCTTCCCTGGCCCTGTGTACCGGTTATTCTGTGTCCGAGAAGCAGATGTGTTCCCACGCGTGGTAGTGTTCTCTTGCATGACTGAGCTTGACATATTTTTGGACTCCAAGACACCCCCCCTCGTTGTACTTCGCGAGCGTGGTTGCTGGGTGCTGCTCCGCCTATTGCCAGGGAGAAGACTCCCAGAAACAGATAGATCCACACTCCTGCTTAAAGCACCACCAACCAAGCGAGGGCTTGGTGCGCTTGCTCTCTTAAACAATGAACGCATCCCCTGGGTCTGGTCGTTGAGGTTTTGTCCATCAGTGAGCATACCATTTGCATCCACATCGGCTCTACAGCTGGCAATAATGTTGCTCTGATGCCTCTGTGGTCCGCCTGAACTTACCCGACCCATCCTCATCTTCAAAGGATTGGAATCCTGCTCTGGGAGCCCGTTGATAGCCTTCTGTGCGGAGAGAGGTCTATTCCTTGTCAAGCCACGCTCGAATGCTACTGGGTCACACGCAGCTTTAGCATCGACTGAGTTCCTAGAAGGCACACTGTTTGTTCTTGCCCAAAGACCCATTGTCTGTGACATACCAGGTGCTGATACTGGTTTCATTGTTCGACCACCCCTGGGAATTTGGTTTTCCTCAAATGGTCTAAAACTTGTCGATGGACGCCTCCTTTCAGCTGACAGTGCTCGGGGAGGGGGTTGAGGAGGCTCCATACGCATTGATTGTCCCACTGCTGGTGATGGATATCGCTTGGACGCAGCTGCGATTGGACGAGAAGGGATTGCCATATACCTTGATGGTACAACTCGGATTCGGCGCTTCCTTTCTTGCACTGCATCCATGGAAGTCAGAATATCAGACCAAAACACATCTCTCTCTCTCTCTCTCTCTCTCTCTCTCTCTCTCTCTCTCTCTCTCTCTCTCTCTCTCTTTTCGAACACACAAGATTCCCCACTTGCCGAGTTTGAGGAAGGTCCAAAACCATGTTCACACATTCCTTTTTCTTCAATCGACTATAAAGTTGAGACATGACATTATCAACAGGTTCAAGAGGGCACTGCATAGTGTCACAGGGCCTGACCTGGCTTGTTCCCCTGAACATAACTCCCAGGAGTCGAGTGTTAAGATTTGGGGAGGTGCAAAGTTTTCAAAAGAAGTTGATGTAATGATCTGCAAAATCACAAACTCAGAAGTCTGCTGATTTCTGAGTTTCGCCGCTGGAATGTGCGACTTAAAGATTCCCGCTTTGTGCTGAAATTTGTTTAAGTCTGTGTGTCTGCATGCTTGCTGCTTACCTTGTGCCTGTCTGAGATTTCTAAGTCTGTGTGAGCACGTGCCTGCTGAGATTGCTTGCATGTTTCGAAGGCCCTCGGTCCCGCTACTTACCTGTGGCCATGACTTGGTGGGTTGCAGCAGGATGTAGCGGTAGGCTAGGCCCGCGTAGCCAGAAAAACACTAAGTAGCAGGTAGGTTAGGCTGGGTCGGTAGAAAATACTTGAATAGACAGGTAGGCAGAAAAGGCCAAGAAGTTAGTACCTTTGCAGGCCGAGTGAATTTTGGAGGTCCAGTAGGCCTAGGTCTAGGAGTACCGGTCCAGTGGTCCAGTAGTCTAATGGCCTGGACACTCACCGCTCAAGACGCAAGCTGCCCGGTATATCTTCCAGAAGAGCAAAGAGCTCTCCCTCATTTTGCAGTATGCAAGTTCAGCGTCACGCCGCAGGAGCGAGCGCTGGAGTAGGCAGCACTGGGGAGGGGGAAGGTGACCGGGTGCTCCAGCTTCAGCTATGGCAGAGCAGCTCCAGTAGGAGGAAGAAATAGAGGGCTAGGAAGAGGAAAGTGACGAGGTACTTATCTGGCTGTGGTGGACGGCATCTTCATCTTCTTTGGTTGGCGCTGCACCTGGAAGGCCCCAGTGGCTTCAGGGCAGGGTTAGACATGGCAGCCTAACTAAAGGACATATCAGCTTTGCATTGTCCTTGGGACATCAGGGCAAGGCTGCACTTGCCCGCCATAGCCACCACCACTAGGTGGTAGAAAGTGTAGGCCGTGGCTATGGTGGACCTCATGTGTTGCTGGTTGTACGGAGGAGATTCAGACATTGGTTCAGTCTTTTGCTGTTATTCTTATTATTTTATTTCATTTTTCAAACGAAGAGGAGGATAAAGTGAGTTGACGAGTTGGAGGGGGGATTTGTCCTTGGTCTTCGCTGGTGTACATGTTCTTCTTCTTTTTCTTCCATTCTTTGTTCTTCTTCTTCCTCTGTCTATTTCTCTTTCCAAGTTCTTTCATTTTATTTCCAATTGAGAGGCATCTGCTTTCCTTGTGTTATGCGGTTTGGAATAGGCAGGATCAAAGCAGGATCAAAACAATGATAAGTTCTGGAAAATTCTCGGAAGGATCCAAAAAGACACATGTTCCACAGTTTTTGGGTCCCTTGGCAGCCAAACTAGGATGTTTTGGCCATCTTTCCAGAAATATTACATTTTTTTTTCTTAATGCAACTCTCTTGTTACTGCTATCGAATGATTTTGAGCACTCTGTTTTTTTTTTGTTTTTTTTTCACACCAGCCCCTTCTATTCTGCGGGGCATCTGTCCGGTTACTTACCGGCAAGCATGAGTTCAGAATGGACTCACCAAAAGAAAAGTGAAGCGGTGTCAGCCCTGCCCTTGCAGTACTAGTCACCGACTGCTACAAGCCAACTCCCCCCTCCCCCAAGCCATAGCCTTCCTAGGGGCAATCTGATGGCCGGGAAGCTGCTAGTCTCTCAAATTATTTTTTGCCTTCCACTACCTACCTACCACTACTCCTACGGCTATATAGAGGGGCGCCCTGCAACCATAGCTACCTCACAATGAAGGGATTGCATGTTACCCCCCGCCCCAACAGCAGTAGTCAGAGATGGGGTGGGGCCGCCAATGGGCGTCCAGCTAACGCAAAGACCAAGCATTTTGCCTGTAGCTGCACCCCTCCCTTTTCATCGTCCCCCACCCCCAATCGAATAGCAGCAGTGTCCAAGGCCAACACTCTCCCACAGACCACACACAACCCACTCACACGGGCACTCACACCCATGTTGGCCAAACTCGACCATTTGGAGCAACCCCAGAGCTCTCACAAGTCCCTCCACACCAGCTCTCAATATTTCCTGGAGCAACCCCACCTCCTTCTATGTTACGTGTTTTTTCCAAAGACATCACTCTACCGGGAGCAACCTTGACCACCCAACGATCGTGGGCACCAGCACTAGTTGGGAACCCCTTCCAGCCCTGGTTAAGCCACCATCATACCAGCCTCGTCACATGGGTACCTCGGGAGCTAGGCCTGATCTATTATTCTACCAACACGTGAGATCCCATGGGTGGGCCCCACTTGTCCCCCGCCCCGCCTACCTAACACACGTGTTTCAGAGCAATTCTGTAGTGGACTCTATGGATCAGCATAGTTCTGTATAGACTGCTACTCTGCATTAGTCAGCCCTTCGTTTTTCACTGTACTGTGAACTATCAGCATCAGTCAGCATTCGCTCTAGTCTCCAACGGTTCACCTGCTGTTCAATGTCCTCAACTGGCCCCCTGTTCCAGTCTCAGCCTTTAAGGGCAGGGCGCGTCGACTCCGTCATCGAGAACAGCTCTGCTATCCTAATGTCTGTATTCTGACTATCATGTACTAACCAGTATTGATTAGGAAGCAGACAATCCTATCCCTGATGCAATCTACCCTGCCACCCATGCACCAGGGGTCCACACCTGCCCCTCCCATCCATCACACTCAACCCGTCATCCACTCAATACAGGTGCAGACCCCGCAGCCCCACCCACTTCCTCGCAATTCAAGCTATAGACCACATCGTTATTCTGCACCTACTAGGACCCACCGCCCTCCATGATGAGGCCTCTGCGAAGTGGTGGTCCCCCTAACCTCGTCCCTAATCCTGGGCCCTGGCGCCTACAGAGCACTGGGTAACCAGTTACATAACTCTACCACTCTACTATATTTCTATTGTCTGCATCCCTGTTGTTTAAAACCTCTGTACACTGGACAGTTATTGAACCCTAAACCTCATTCTTATCAGCAATCAGCTCAGCCCACCGAGCTACAACATCAATTGATCTGTACGTGTGCTATGCTGGGCTCGAGAGGGGAACACAAGCAATCATCACAACAACCGCTGGACCAAGAACATGAGGCAGACCTCTCATAGCCTAAAACCCAACATACAACCACCGTGGACTAAACCCCTTGGGCAGTACAGGCAGTGTCTGTAATCCTTATCATGGCCCCACCCATGCGGGCTGTGCAGACAGCAGTGCATTCATCAATCCCCGCTGGTGTCCATGCACGAGGCTGCAAAGTTTTGAGCCCGCAACCTCAAACCACATGCGTATTTCCAACCGCTGCTCTACCCACTGGGCTAATCGACTGTTCTATCCATCATTAATCGTGATGTAGGATGGCTGGGTTTACTCAGTGTTTTGATAACCATTCTCAGATTGAAATCCATCATTAATCGTAATGTAGGATGGCTGGGTCTACCCCAAAAAGCCATACTCAGTACACTGAATGAATCAAATCGCCAGCGCTACGCCCCTCTCGGATTGAAATGCGCACCTGGCGGTGCCTTTAGGCCCAAATCTCTCATTTGAAGGCCACAAGTAAGTAGACCAGGATGACAATGAGAGAGGCCACTCCAGCTGGGACCAGAGTTTATTATGTCCAACTCCTGAATGTACCGCCCTTCCCTCCATCCATCACACCTTCCTTTCCTAATCCAACCTTCCCTACTTCCTTTCCTCCTTCCTTCTTTCCCTTCCCCCTTTCCGTCTGCCTCCTCCTTCCTCCCTTTGCTACCCCCTTGCCTTCTGCCTGCATTATGTCCCTCCTTCCCCCCCGGCTTCCTTCAACCATCCCCCTGATTACTCTCCCTTTGGCACCTTACCCTACCCTTATCCGCCTTCCTTCGTTTCCTTCCGCCTCCACTCCCACCTTCCTTTCATCCGATCTCTCCTACGTCGCCTACCTCTTCCCTCCCTCCCTTGTTCTTCCACTCTCTTCTCTTCTCCCTCCACCGCTCCTTCCTTCCCCACCTTCCTTTCATCGGACCTCTCCTCTATCGCCTACCTCTCCCTCATCCCTCCCTCCTTCCTTCCCTTCCCTCTCCCCGTGCCCTTGCCCTTTCTCTCCCTTTAGTACCTTTCCCTTATCCTCATTCCTTCTTCACTGCCTCCACTCCCACCTTCCTTTCATCCGACCTCTCCTCCCTTGCCAACCTTTTCCCTCCCTCCCTTGTTCTTCCACTCTCGTCTTCTCTTCTCCCTCCATCACTCCTTCCTTTCCTGCCTTCCTTCCATCTGACCTCTCTTGCCTTGCCTACCCCTCCCCTCCCTCATTCTTCCACTCTCTTCTTCCCTTCTCCCTCGGCCACTCCTTCCCTTCCACACTTCGACCCTCCAACCCTGGCCCCTTATCTTTGACCATACCTTTGCCCCCTTACGTCCCCCAGCCCATCTCCTCGTCTCTCTCTTTTCCCTTCGTTGCCTCCATTTCCCACTTCTTCCCTCGCTTGTTCTTCCATTCTCTTCTTCCTTTCTCCCTCCGCCACCCCTTGCCTGCCTTCCACTTTTTCGACCTTCACCCCTGGCCCCTTATCGTTGACCATACCTTTGTCCCCTTATTTCCCCCAACCCTTCCCCTTATCTCTCTCTTTCCCTTTGTCCCCTCCGTTTCCCACTTCTCTCATTGCCTCCCTTCCTACTCTTTACATCCCCCCTCCCCCTGTGCCCCCCTCTCTCCTTGCCTCACCCTCTGCCCCAGTCCCTTCTCCCCTTTATTT